GGGGGACCGTCGATATGCGTCTCTTGCCATGGTTGATTGTGATGCTTATGACAGAGACGATAACGCTGCACGTCCGGATCGTCCTTCAGATGTATTGGCAATCTGTCCCACAATCTATCGACGGAAATCGCTGTACTTGTCCAGCAGAAGCTTCTTCGGAACGTACTGCAACTGATCGACGCTGAGTCCGAGAATATCGGAATCGTTTACCAATAGAATAAACATGACGAAGCGTCGCGCGCGCGCAAGCATCAAACGCGCGTAACTTTATCGCGTCACCATCGATCGGACATACCTAACGGCGCGATCGTTTCTCTCTCTATACAGGGTGACCCATTTTAACTTAGGCAGCCAAATAACTCGAAAAATAAGCACACTACGAAAAAATGGTTAGAATCAAAATTTCGTCATTTCGAGGGGGACGTACAATGACGTTAAAATCAGCCCCCCCACCCCTCCCCCTGGGCGGTGAGGGGGGCAAGTTTGAAATCTTAAATGGAACCCCCTATTTTTCATTGCATATTCTTGTAGCTTATCTCGAGAGCTTTCCAAAACACTATAATTAAGTACCTTTTCATTAAGTACTTTCCAAGTTATGAGGCTTGAAATAATTCCTTAATTTTACATAAACCATAAAATATCTAGTAAACCATTCATTTTTCGATTATCTTACCTTCATACTTTTATGTACAAAATAATGAGAGGAATCAATTGGTGTAAAGAAAACACATAGTTGTTTCTAAGAAAAAATATGTAATTTGCAATTAACAATTCCATATTTTTTCTTAAAAACAACTGTATGTTTTCTTTACACCAATTGATTCCTCTCATTATTTTGTACATAAAAGTATGAAGATAAGATAATCGAAAAATGAATGGTTTACTAGATATTTTATGGTTTATGTAAAATTAAGAAATTATTTTAAGCCTTATAACTCAAAAAGTACTTAATAAAAAGGTACTTAATTATAGTGTTTTGGAAAGCTCTCGAGATAAGCTACAAGAATATGCAATGAAAAATAGAGGGTTCCATTTAAGATTTCAAACTTGTCCCCCTCACCGCCCAGGGGGAGGGGTGGGGGGGCTGATTTTAACGTCATTGTACGTCCCCCTCGAAATGACGAAATTTTGATTCTAACCATTTTTTCGTAGTGTGCTTATTTTTCGAGTTATTTGGCTGCCTAAGTTAAAATGGGTCACCCTGTATATACGCTCGCGAGCGCGAATTCTCGCTCGTTGCTCGCGCGCGAGTCTGCGCACTGACGCGCAGGTTCGCTCGCGACAATGGGGAAGAATCGTAAGAAGAGAGAGAGAAAAAAACGATGCGTTTCGTGCGTCAGCCGATCGCGATAAGAGTGTCGACGGTAAGACGCGCTCGATAAACGAGGAATCGCGGTAGTCTGTTACCGACCGCGATTCGCTGCGTAATCTGCGGTCCCTCTAATTGTGGTAAAACGAACGTACTGATAAGCCTTCTGGAGAGCCCTCATGGCGTGCGATTCGAGAACATGTACGTTTACTCGAAATCGTTGCATCAGTCTAAATATCGATATTTGGAAAAGTTGTTAAAACCAATGCAGAATATCAGTTACTTCACATATTCGAACAATACCGACATCATCCCGCCTAGCGAGGCGCTGCCGAACTCAACATTCGTGTTCGACAACGTGGCCTGCGACAAACAGAACGCCGTGAGGGAGTACTTTGCCACGGGGCGTCACACGAAGATCGATTGCTTCTATCTGTGTCAATCGTACGCTAAGATAACTAAACATCTGATACGCGACAACGCGAATCTATTGATACGTTTTAAGGACGGTACTAATCTGGAACACGTGCACAACGATCACGTGAATACCGATATGCCGTACGACGATTTTCACGCGCTGTGTCGCGCGTGTTGGAAATACCGGTACGGTTTTCTAGTGATCGACAAAGATAGCGCGTTGCGCAACGGTAGATACAGGCAAGGATTCAATGATTACGCCGTATGGCGTTGCGATCGTCGTCGTTGTCGTCGTCGTCATCGCCGGGGATGAATCAGTCGTCCCGAGACGGAGCCGATCATAGAGAGGGGAGAGATTAGAGAAGGCGAGACGCCGATGAATGACGCGCGATGACGGACGTCGATAGATACGAGAAAACCACGAGAGAGATAGCGAGAACGCGCGCGTCAATTCGCAAGAAGCATTGAAGACCGAAAGGATGGAGAGCGATACCGCTCTGGAAACGCGTTTCAAACCGTTGCGTCGCATCGCCGAGCGCATCGGAAACGACCCCGCGTGAGGCGCGAGCGCGAGATCGCGAAGAGCGAGATCGACGACGGCGACGACTACGGCGACGAGGCGTTCGCGCGAGGCATCAAGAGAACGGCGGCGCTGGAGGAGGAGGATGAGGAAGAGACGGAGGAGAGCGCGCTACCGCCGCTATCCGCGAAAGGATTCAAGGCTAAGCGATCTCGGCGTTCTGACGCGACGTCGGATTCGCTCGCGGCGACTTCCACGCCCGTGGGAGCGATGGACGTGTCTCCCGCGCAAGAGCGCGAGTTCGCGAGGAAAGATCTCTTCGCGAAGCCGCCCGTCGAGGAGATGTTCGAGACGAGCGACGACGTCTTTGGTTCGTCCGCGACGTTCAAAACGTCGGTCAGACGGTCTGTGCGAACTCCTCGAGGGCGAGATATCTTGCGCGATCAATTGGGCCCATTGGCGCGGAAGTACGCTCTTCTCAGCGGCGGCGCGCCGAGCGATTTCGATCATCAGATTCACGTTTACGGAGTTTACTTCGCCGACGCCGGCACTATGCTCGGAAACAAGCGATTCGACGTAGCTGCCGACGATGCGATATTCGTGGACGCGGTCAGATACGTCGGCATTCCCGGTCTGTACGAATTGATCTTCAAGAGAGTTTCCAACGATCTCAAGTACACGGAGAGAGACAAAACCATGTACAGGAGCATACTTCTGCAAACTAACGCTCACAGGCACGAGCATAATATTCGCATGCCTGTATTAGGAAACAAGGGATACAAGTACAAGCACGTCATAGCGCCGATCTTACAGACCGACAGAACGAGAAAGAGAATCGGCGGGAGTCGCGCGCCGCCGACTACGCGCGTGCCACAGGCTATGCGCGTGATCCGCGATATGGTGGACTATCATTTGGACGATCCGAACGAATTGGTGGATCGTCGATTGCTGGACGCTTCTCGTCAAGCTGGCAACAACGCTCACGACAACGAGATCCTATCGATAATCGAGGAGCTTCGCGAGGCGGGCGAGATACTGTGAGACGATCGCGGAAAAGCGCTGCAGTGGCGCGCGCGCACGCGCCTTTCGACGACGCGATGTCTGTGAACAGGTTCGGAGTGTCACTGCGGAGAAGACGCGGATACGGCCGCGATGCGACGAGCGGCAGATTGCGCACGAGCGTGAAATCTCTGCGAAATTACGTGCGCGATAACGCGCTGTGTCTAACCACCTCCGCGTCGCATGACGCGCGGCATCTCAAGATACGAAGAGTAGCCTGGCCGACCGACGACGACGACGCGTCGAACAAGAGTTACATCGAACATGTTATATGCGCGGTGAAAGCGAACGTGGTCAATTATCGCGAGAATATCACGGGTATGATGTGAGTGAAGAACAGTGCGGACTCGTCGGCGAAGAAAATCGTCGCTCTGCACAGAAGGATCGACGCTTTCGAGAGTGCCGCGACCGAAAGATCGCGCGCTTTGAAAACCGACGTTTCGCAGATTCGCGCGAAGGGGAGCGCTCTCGAGAATCGGCTGCAAACGCTGGAGAATCTGCAAGAGCTCGCCGCGACGAAGATCGAGATCGCCGAAGCGAAGAGATCGGCCTCGCGGACGCGCGCGGTCGCCGACAAGCGACTGAGCGATCTGGAGAGCTCCGTCAAGACGAATCGAGCGAACGGGAACTCGTCGAGCAAACTGTTGCGCGATCTGGAGACCTCGATCGCGCGACTCAAGGAGATCAACGAGGGAAACGGAGAAGCGAGTGCGCGTCTCGGAGAGATCTTTGTTGCACATAAACAACGTAGCAACGAATAACGAGAGAAATCGCGCTGTTGAGCGGTCACGACAGGACGCTGCAAGAGTTGACGGCGAAGGCGCTGACTTCTAACGCGAAATTGCGAGAACTGGACGCCGAGGTGTCGCGTCTGAGGAAAGACGCGAACGAATCCGCGAGGAGAACGACCGCAACCGCGACGGCGGCGGCGGCGGCGACGGTGATCCCTAGGACGATCGATTCGAATAAGGTGGTTATAAAACTAGATGCTAAAACTCCTAATAAGCAACAGTCAAGGAGAGGATAGCGAGTAGGTGTTATAGATTCTAATTCAGGTCCTCTTAGAGAGTGTGAGGCGCGGTGCGGGGGGAATGACGTCACGCGCAGGGAAGGAGGAATTGCAGCGCGCGGTGGGTGATATCATCACTGATGGTAGGCCTGTAGGGATTGGGTATCCAACACATATATTTATGCACGCCGTTTAATAATAGAAAATCAGTCTTTATTCAAAAAAATAACAATTATCTTTGATATATAAACTAGAGTCTTTTTTAGCGTGTTTAGATCCTTTTAGAAAAAGCGAAGTAGAACCAAGAAAAAAATAATACATAAGAGACGCTAAGCTTAGCGTGGCGTCGTGTCGTGTCTAGTGTGGCGCTATTGTCGCGAGTCGCGTTGTGATTGGTCGTCCCGTGGTTTGTCCACGAGAAATCCCCAAATTGCCATTGGAAGGGCGAATGGACGCTACATCACTCCCCCTCGAGTGGCGCAGCTTAAGGGGGGAGGGTCGTCCAGACAACAGGTATTTTAATAATTTTTTTTGAGAAACTGAATACACTTATTGTATCAAATGAAGTTACATAGTATAGTACATGTTATGATGTATTCACTCATAAATTTTTATGCAAAAAAATTAAAAAATGGCGGCGCTACAGCTGTTCAAAGTTGACTCCTTCGATTTGCGCCGTGGAATGCCCAGCCTCTTGTAATCAACTGAAATCAATCGGACAAAAAAATTCTATTAAAATAAGTCATTACGCTTTGCATATACCTATTTCTAATAAAAAAATTTTTTTTTCACAATTTAAACTCAAAAAGAAAAAAATTTCACTTTTTTTTTTATAAACTAATTGTTATAAACAATGTTTATAATAATAATTTATGCAAAATTTTAGGTACATACAAAGGCCAATACCTCAAAGAATGTCTGTACAAAATTTCAAGTTAATATCTTAATAACTTTTTAAGTTATGTTCCACGGAGCGGACAAAAACGTGTTTTGAGAAAAACGCGATTAAAGTTTTCGTTCTTGGAAAGTACAGTTAAAAGCAATTTATAATTACCTAAGCTAATCTGCGATACCAGGTCCATAAAGCAAGCCTTCTTCTTCAATAAAATCATCTAATTCAGCAGCATTTTTTTCTTTCTGGGCAGTTCTAGCCTCTTTTGACGAATTTAACGAGCGCCGCTCTTGCCTCTTCACTCGATTGCTATCGTACGAGTCCGCAAAATTCTTGCATTCCAAGCCTATTGTCAAGTCCAGGTCCCTCATGACTTTAAGTACGAATAAATAGCCATCATTGAAGATTCCTCCAACTAAAAAAGCTGCGATTTCAATAATTTTTGCGCCACAATTCAAGTGCTTCGGAGCTAGACGCCAGAGAGTTGAATTGAAAGATTCGTTTGCGTTTTGAGTAAAACCGCCAACACAACGCTCAAGCAAGTCATCTCGTGACAAATCTTCGTAGATAGGTAATATGCTTTTTTGTACATCTACGTGCAGTGGAGCTGGATGCTCATAAGAAATATTATTGGCTTGTGCAGCGTTGTATTGACACCACGAGTCGATGCCAGTAGGGCAGAACTGATGCTGGGGCTTTTCATCGGTAGATATTAAATGATAATACGTGGCCATAATAGCTTTTTTCATATCATCTTTCGACTTGGCATTTCTTCGTATAGCAAGACCATAGTATTTTGTTAACTTTTTAATTAAAGCATCGGTTAGTTTGCCTTTTCCACCGAGCTTTGCGATCTTTTTTATATTTCGAAGACGGCTTCCCATGCGTTTTTCCACGTGACCTACGCACTCACTTTTTTTTATTTCAGTATTTTAGTACGGATTTGCATCTAATATTGCTTTAAATGTTTTTGTATCGTCATCTCCAACATAATTCACGTAACGTACACCGTACTTTTCTTCTGAACGGCCGAACATTTCAAGAACTGCGTCGACTTCCATTTTGCCTGAAGAGTCTTTATGATTTATGGTACAAACTTCTTCGTGCTCTGCGATTTCTAGATAATCGGATTTATTTCTGAAGTACGTACATGCTTGGCAGTAACTGCTTTTTACTACCAAATCGACTACCTTACCCGAATAATAGCCTATAAGCGTAATTACTCCGTACAAAGACGAAAAGCCGCGCTTCTTCCAAGATCCATCGCCGCTAATAGTCAAATTGAGTAACGGTTGTTCTCGTGCTTCATTTTCTTTTTTTTCGTTTTCAATAGCATTTTTGCAAGAGATATCGAACAACTTTTGCACGAAAGTATGTATGTGTTCGATAATGAGTCCATAAGCATTTTTACTTAGTCCGCTGCCTAAATTCATCACTCCACAAAAAATATTTATACCTTCTCGAGCGACACCAAGTAAACGCATTGCAATAACTATACGTCTATTTATCTCATAAGCACAGTGAATAAACGGGCTAGATGGAATGAGTAGAGTGCCACATGTAACGGAAATTTTGAAACCGAGCCCTTTATCACCTGATTGACCGAACGACACTTTTCGCTTGCACTGTTTGCACACCAATATATCAGCAAGAGCAGAAAATACACTGACAAACTCAATGATCCTGTAGCCAAAACTTTGGCTAATAATAATATCGTCCGCTGATGACTTCAATTTCTTTGTGGATCTTGACGCACTAGCTTCATCGTTGGACTAATCGTCAACTTCCATGATTTGAGAAAATTGATTTCCTTGAAATTTTTTACGACGAGGATAGTTAGGACGATAATTTGGATTATTTTTATCGATTTTACGACTCATTTTATCAAGTTATTATTTAAAACTCGATTCAAAATAATAACACGAGGCACTGGAAACACGAGTTACTGCGAAATACAAACACGTGCTCTGTATACTAAGAGCAAGCCGTTTCTCAGCTACTATTCCTGTGTAAGCCAAAAACGACCGTTACAAAATCCGAATAATCTTCCGAAGTGTCTCCTATATTCCAAAAAGTCAACTAAAAAACTTATTTAGGTAAGAAATGAAAGCTATAGGCCGTAAAGAGCGCGCGCTCGTTTACCTGCTTTCGGTACTTTCGACGCTCATCACTTCTTTGACTTTTTAAAGACTTTCTATTGGGCTTAAAACATTGTAAATATATTCTTTAGGATCCAAATGAACTTTTAAAGCAAAAAAAAAATGAAAAATTTGAAAGTTCTGGACGATCCTCCCCCCTTAAGACTGAACCGCGAATGTAACGCGTTTGCCTGGGTAGACTCTCAATTTGGTGGTTTCCGTGGCTTGCGTGGATGACGACTCGCCTTCCTCCTCAAATCCTGCTTCCATGAATGCCGGTTTAAGGCGATCTACAGAGATGTTAACTGCCTCTCCTTTAATAAGAACTTTAAATACATGATCTGTAATTCCTTCGCTTATCGGGTACGGTCCTTCGTATGTGGTTCTAGTGGGCCTCTTACTTTGTCCACTCGTACAAAGACGTGGGTACATGTATATAAAATCTTATGTGTGAATGTCTTCTTTTTACTGTGATGAGCTGTTGGCGTAGACCTGACATTCCGCATGTGCTCTCGGAAATGTTGTATAAAAGTCTCTGATTCTGGTGCAACATCTTCGTTGAAGAAGTATTCAGCTGGTAAACGTAGGGTAGTTCCATATACCAATTCTGCTGCTGTGGCCTTGATGTCTTCTTTGATGCTGGTGCGTAACCCTAATAGAACAATTGGTAATGCTTGTAACCAATTTTTAGATTCATGGCAACGGATTGCAGTTTTCAAAGAATGATGCCAGCGTTCAATTATCCCATTTGATGCTGGATGATACGCTGTAGTCCTTGTACGTTTGCATCCCAGAAGATTAGTCAGAGATCTAAACAGTTGTGATTCAAATTGTGCTCCTTGATCGGTAGTGATTATCGTGGGCGCCCCGAAGCGTGCTATCCAGGCATGAAAAAATGCATCCACGACGGTGTCTGCTGAAATATCTTGAACTGGAACTGCTTCAGGCAATCTTGTGAAACGATCGATCATTGTTACGCAGTAACGGTATCCTTTAATGTTGGGTAGCGGTCCAATTATGTCCATATGCACGTGATCGAATCTTGTATCAGGCACTGGGAAGTGCTCTGATTCAAGTCGGTTATGTCTGTGGATCTTGTTTTTCTGGCACTGTAAACAAGTTCTTACCCATTCGGTAATGTCCTTATTCATTGCTGGCCATACAAATCGTTGTCCAATAATTTTTCGAGTGACGCGTCCACTGGGGTGTGCTAGACGGTGTGTGACATCGAATACTCTTTTTCGTAAGCTTCTAGGTACATAGGGCCGTACCTCTTCCTTGGAAATGTCGCAATAAACGACGGTATCGGAATTGTCTACACGAATTTTCTTTAGCTGCAGTGATTGAGCTTCATTTTGAAGTAGGTCTTTGAGTTCCTCGTCGGTATGCTGTGCCTGCGCAAGTTCTTCAGTTGTAACGACGACTGGCATGTCGATTAATTCGACGCGTGACAGTGCATCGGCTATCGTGTTGTTCTCACATTTGATGTAGATGATTTCCGTGCAAAATTGACCAATGAAATCGAGCTGTCTTAATTGCCTTGGTGATGCTTTCGAAGACTTCTGTAAGAAGGCATAGGTTAACGGCTTATGGTCGGTTTTTATTATGAGTTTGCGACCTTCTACTATTGATTTGAAGAATTTGAGGCTGCTGTAAATGGCTTGGAGCTCTCGATCATATGTGCTATAATTTCTCTGCGCTGGGCTGAATTTCTTTGAAAAGAATCCGAGGGGTTCCCAATTTCCTTGGTAATATTGTTCCAAAACGGCACCCATTGCTGCATCTGAGGCGTCTGACTTTATTGCCAGGACCGTATGTTTTCTCGGGTGTGCTAATAGAGTTGCGTCTATTATTTGTTGTTTGCATTCTTGGAAGGCTTTATCTGCACGTTCATTCCATGCTATAGGGCGCTTATTTTTCTTCTTGGCGTTCGTCAGATATTCATGAAGCGGAGCCTGCGTGAGTGCAGCGTTAGGAATAAATCTTCTGTAAAAATTTATGATTCCTAAAAAACGTCTGAGTCCGCTGATGTCCGTTGGTTTCTCCATCTTCTTAATCGTTTCCACTCTCTTATCCAGAAGTTTAGTGCCTTGACTATTGACAGTATAACCTAAGTAACTAACCTCTTCTTTGCCAAAAACGCATTTTGCTGCATTGATGGATAACCCGTGTTCTTGTAATCGTTGAAATATCTGAAGTAGGTGTACGCGGTGTGTTTCCACGTTCGGTGACGCTATTAAAATGTCATCGATGTAGCAATGACAATAGTCGATGCCGCGAAGGACACAATCCATAAGCCTTTGAAATGACTGTGCGGCGTTTCGTAAACCGAAAGGCATCACATTATACTCGTAAAGACCAAATGGTGTTATTACTGCTGTTTTTGGACGATCCTCTTCTGCGACAGATATCTGATGGTACGCCCTTGCTAGGTCTAGTGTTGAGAAAATGCTACATCCTTCCAGCTTATGTGCGAAATCGTACAAGTGCGGGATTGGGTATCTGTCCGGCACTGTGGTGTTGTTTAATCGCCTGTAGTCGCCGCATATTCTCCAATCGCCATCCTTTTTTGGTACTAAATGCAATGGATTAGCCCAGGGACTAGAGCTGGGTCTACAAATCCCTGCATCTAACATATATTGTATTTGTGCGCGTACTGTATGTAATCTTTCACCAGACAATCTGCGCGCCGGTTCCGCGACGGCTGGACCTGTAGTAATAATGTGATGCGTTACTCCGTGCTTTGGTTTCTGAAGGCTTACCGGTTTAGTGATGTCGCTGAATTTCCGCAGGAGATCGGCAAAAGCATGGTCAAAGGTGGTAATTCCTCCAATCTCCGAAATTGACAGCTTACCGTCTACCTTGCAACTTGTAGTTCCATCACGCAACAGTTTGTGTTTTAAGTCGACTAGCAATCCAAAATGTGCCAGGAAGTCCGCTCCGATTATGGCTTGCTTGACATCCGCCACTATGAATGTTCAATCTAGCTTCTTTCGTAATCCTAAGTCTACATTAACTAACCTTGACCCATAGGTGGTTATCAGAATATTATTGGCGGCATATGATTTATATTTACTCGCCGTACAATTTCCTCTGACTGCATTCTTTGGTATAACTGACACATCTGCTCCGGTATCGATGAGGTAGCGAATCCCCTCGTTTTTCCTATCTGCTACGGTTAGACGGAATGTCTTTGCGTCGTCCGCCTCCGTCATCTGGTTAGACGACGCGGTTAGTTTTCCGCGATCGCTGCCTTGGGTTCTTTCCACTCACATGGTAATAGGCAATTTGAACGCTTTCTGCCCGAACTTCCGGTGGTAGTAACATGTATTGGATTCGTGATGCTCTTGAGATTTTGATCTTGATTTATTCCTACGCGCGTACTTGTCACGTCCTCTACTTTTAGCCTCGCTGTTGTGCACTGCGTAACTCTTTTAGTTGCTCTGCAATTGCATCGATCGCAGCCTTGAGTTCGCAAGATGCGGTAGCTTCTCCCGCATGTGGCAATTTTGCAACGGCATTGACTTGTGCTACGCTAGCTCTTGACATATCCGTGATTTTGTCAGCTTGCATTGCTAATTTCGACAAATCTGTAACTTCACTTATGGCTAAGATACTACGTACGTTGTCAGGCAGCTGCTCTAAGAATAATGTTCTAAGTACTGCGTCGGTGCACTGACCCCTTGAAAGATTTCGCAGTCTCTGCAGGAAGTTTGAGGATTTCTCATCCGCGAGCTCGTTTCCACGTAGCAATCTCCGC